CCTAGGGCGCTGCATTACCATCTCCAGAGTGCAATTCTTGACCGACAGGATCAGAACATGGCCATGACTGCGTGTGCTGGTGGTGAGAGGGGTAGGCCTGATGCCTGTCTGCTGTCAGCCTCTGATCCCCATGTGACTCCGAGGGACTTAAGCACCAGGTTAGCCAATGCTATCCTACCTCACCATCCAGAAGGGCAGGGAGAAGGGGTGGGTGTGTTTGAAATAATCTCAGGAAGTCTAGTTTTAAGAAGCTTCTCCCAGAAACTCATCATTTCTGGGCAGGGAGGCAGGGCTGGAAATTAAGTCAGGATTCTCTTGGGAATTGGTGCTTGGTAGCTCTAATCCTTTGTCCTTGGGCTTTCTCTCTTTCCTTGACCGCTGTTGCCACATTTAACCTCACGATGTTTTATGCAGCGCAATTACTGGGACCATATGACTCTTGGTAGATCACTGAGCAAAGCCATTACTCCTACAGGGAAAATCTCTGGCAGGTACTCAACCGATTGTGAGCCTATAGTGTAATTTTGCATAATTTTTGAGACGCTTAGGGGGGGGTCAGTATAGTGGTTAATAACACGGTCTTTGGAGTCTAACAGTTTTGGATTTGAACCCCAGTTCTACCACTTTATAGCTGTTTGGTCTTTGGAAAGTTTCATAACTTCTCACATTTTCAGTTTCCCTATCTGTAAATTGGGAATAATACTCTACCTCATAAAGTTATTTCAAGGATTAAATGATATAACATATGTAAAGGGCTTCATACAGTGCCAAGCAGTTAGTAATGGTAGCTAACTATTATTATTAGTTGCTATAACTCTATAACTAAAAATACTACCCTATTTTAAGTGTGCATGGTTCTTTAAAATATTTCTGAAGTCTGTAAAAAGTTGTCATTAATTAAAAACATCCTAATTAGGAAAGCACTAATCCATTTTACAGATAAACCAGCCAGGGAGTCATTTATTATTTCCTCTAAATTGTTGGGTTTTTGTAACTCCTAGTTCTAACAGTCTTGTTGGTAATATCCTCATTTTGATAATACAGCCTCAAAGAATTCCACCCAGTTAGTGAGGCAAGTTATTCCTTTCCTGAAACCACACGGGTCCCTCTAAACTGAGTCCCTGCTCTTCCTCTGTTTGATTTCTTAAAATAGTTTCTGAAGATTTTAACCACAACTGAATCAAAACTAACCAGCCTGTAATTTCCTGGTATGTCCCTACGGCCTTTCTTTTAAAACAAAACACGCAAAAAAAAAAAAAAAAAACACGCAAAAAAAAAAAAAAAAAAATGGCATTACACTGGCTGCTTTCCAGTATTTCGGGGTTTTGACTGGAGCAAGCTGGAAACCGTCTGTGAAAGCTTCTCCAATTTCACTTCATCCCTCCTTGGAAGGAGGCTCTGGGTTATTTGTGGCTTCATTATGATGTATTCTCAAACTTAGGCACTTTTAATTTTGAGTTGTTTTAAGAAGAGTTTACCAATACCATCTCTCCATAGTTCTTTACTGCATATCACCCTTCTTTTCAATTCTAGTGCATTAGAAAATAAGGCAACTGGTACTAAGCATATAAGCTAGAAAAAGAAAGAAGTGCTCTCTAAAAATACCTAGGAAAATATGGATTGAGTTTTTGAATTCACATATTAAAGCACTGTGCTCGCTTTGGCAGCACATACACAAATTAAAGCACAAATGGAATACTATGTATTTGGATCTTTTCCTAAAGCCGATGCAAATATTCTGAACTCTACTCAGACATATAAGACGAAATTTAGTTTGGTTGATTATTTAAATGGCTAACATTTTTTTCTATCGTAATCATTTTTCATCTTTATTTTTGGTGATTAAAAGTTTTCTTCCTGTTGAATTCTTAATATAATTTAAATATTTTGGTTCACAATTAGATGTTTTGGTTTTTAATAAAATGTTTATAATTAATATATAATATAGAAGTTAGACTTAAATAAAGTAAAAATATAATATTCAGTTAATGACCAAATTAAAACACGAATTAAAATAGAGACAAAGAAATTCATTAAAAAATTCTAATAAGCATTACAAGAATATAAGTGCCCAGTATACTGTAAAGTTTCAATAAACAGTTGCTGAATTAATGAATGAACAACAGATTGATAATGATAGCATTTTTTCCTGCTAAAAATGCTGAATAAATGTTGAGATAATGTTGATGTGTATAAGAAAAATTCATTTCTAAACATAATATCCTCTTACCCAAATTTTAAGATAACAGTAAAATCTAACTTATTTGGGATTAATTGTATGAGAGTCATACTCAGAAGTTCTGGGATACTAAAATATATTTATAGAAATATAGTACATTTTCTTTATGGTATGTATATTTGGAAGTAATCAACAAGGTATTCTGAAATAGATAACTGTTTTCAAATAGATTCAACTCATTTTTAATGAGAGGCAGGAATTTGCATCCTAGAAATTCCTATGCTAAAGGCTTTAAAATTGTGTTCTTCTAAGAAATATCCTTCCTTGTATTATTATTTATAATATTAACTAGTCGGCAACATTTCTTCATGGACAAAACAAAAACAATCTTAAGTATAGCCCAGGCTAACATATTATAAATTATTAAAATAAGTGAAGCCTAAAATAATATTTTTACTGAAGTTTGCAGTTGAAACTATTCTATGTACTGTTACTTTTAAGAAAATTTTGATTGATTCAAACAGAATCAACTATATAGGGATATATTACATTTTTTCCATCGCCCCCACCTCCTCCCTTGTATTTTCTGTAATTACGGCTATGGATAATTTTAAGCATTCATTTTAAAAAATGTAATTCCAAAAATTAAATATAAAAGATACACTTTTTGGGTTGTACAGATATGGGAAATAATTTAGCATTTGAAAGAAAACATCTTTATAGATTTCATGTTGATGTTAAAAAGCTGAAGAGCCAGTCACTCCCCTTGTAGGAATCGCAGAACTTCACCCTAGTTTCAGGAAAGAGGAAGAGATTTTTCTAATCCACAGCATGGTATCAGCTTTACATACTTTCTGCTTATTTTACATTCTGCCAAACTTGCTGGATGACAAGCACTAACCTTAATTGTTCCAACTGACCCCTTGGGCAGTGTTGTTGAAATGAACAAAGATTATATCACTCCTCAAACAACTCCCTTAATCTTGCCTTTACCAAATGCATTTTCTGGAGAGGACTCCATTCCAATCCATTTTCATCAATTTATTTAGCACTTACTCATATGGTTGCAAGTCAGAAATTTGGGGCTAGTGCTTTCGGAACCCAATCTAATGAAGACATCAAATTAGATTATGTAATTGTTGGCTCTTAATTGCTTAAAGAATTTTCTTACTATATCTATTAGTTTTTTTTTTATATTCGAAATTCAAGTCTCAATTCCTTATGACTGTCAAATTTTCAACATAATTAAGAACTAAGATTATTTCCATGTCTTCGGAATCTCATAGCTGTATTATTTATTATAGTTCACATTTCAAAGAAATGCTGTGTAAAATAATAGTGCAGGAATATTTTTAAATTGTTGCTTGCTTTAAAAACTTTTCCTAAGCTGCTGGGGTATTTGATTTACTGTTACTTACAATTTGTTGACTCAAATCTAAAACCTTCTCCTCTAACAATTACTGACTAAAAACAGGTGCCAAAGGAAACTGACACTCTTCAGTACACTAGGTGTACTTATAAGCACTGTGGGAAAGCATAGAGCAACAGAAGGTACAGGAATTTTTGCAGAACTCACACTCTAGTTTTCAAAATCCAGATTCCCATATGACACTGGAATTTAAACAGGCAAGAAAATATGTTTCAATACAAATTTCAAATTTTCCAATTTTCCTTCTGCCAAGCTTTAACTTCCCTGGATACTTCTTAAAGTATAATTCTCCTGCAGAGGATGGAAAGAGCTTCAACAGCTGAAAAACTATATCACTGACTGTGTCCATATAAGCAGAATTTTCCTGGGGACAATATGCGCCATCCTAATAAGATAGTATATGGAGAATCTCACCGAAAAATATAAAGCATTATATTACAAATACAAGGTGCATTATTATTAATTTTTTCTATAATTATCGTGTCAAAAGCTCAACTTAAATAGGAAACCTATATTTGAGGGTCTTATAAAGGTGAAGAAGGTATTACTAGGATATTTTCACTTTTCTCTTTCTTCTTCCATAAATTAATTTTGCTTCTTCCACTTAAGAGCCTAAAGAAATAGCTTACATGTAAATCCATTTCATACAGCCTCGTGTGTGCTCACACACATTACACATGTACATGAAGAGGCATTTGGCTTTCCGAAAATATTTTAGGATGATTTGGAAAATAAAAAACATCATTTATCTTGAGTAATGATAATAGCAAATGGATTTGAACTTGGCATCACTTTACTAAAAGTATGTTAAAACATTTTTCAGATGTAAATATGAATCTTTGGAAAACGCACAGATTGATTTCCATAAGCAAGTTAAATGAGAAATCCACATGTGAAGAAATAATCAGATGTGTAATGTGGGAGTAGAAATGATTGATTGATTGCTGCTAAAATATTCAGATTATTATGAAGGTGCAGATGTAGCCTATTATTTTAATAGGCATTCCTATTGAATATCATATAAAATATTTTAAATAGTAAGACCCTGACTTTGAGGGTTTTTTTTTTCCTCTTTTTATATTTACTTATCCTGACTCCCTGCTACTTATCTCTCCCTTGGTTCTCTTCTTTGTTAGTATTACATGGTCACATGCCCTGGTTATTATCGTTTTCTATATATAAGGAAAATATTTTTAATGGATTTTTCTTTGAGAAATCATAATTCCTCCAACAGACTTCTGGATAGCCTTTTCCCTAAGAAGTTGAGGTGACAACTAAATTTGTCAGATGACACTTAATGGTAGAGGAGAGGATGTGCCCCTGGTGAAACCTGGCTCGATTTCATTCACTGCTTGTTCTCTTTAGGAAACCCACCATTATATGGTACAGTACCTTCTTTTCATTTTCCCGTCGCTGTTGGTCCTTAACTTTAATCTGGAGGAGCTGAAATTTTAAGAGTTTCCCCATTAGTGGCAAGGTTAATTTCTCTCCACTGTCCATAATTGCTTTTGCCGCCATTAGTACCTAGGAAGAAACACAATATCGGGAAAAGTGACATTTTATAATCTTTGCCACTGTCTATCAATGATGAAAAGATAACATGATATTTTACATTTGGTAATATTTGTCTTATTGCAAAAGCACCTCATTGCTGGCCAAAAAAATTAGGAAAAAATGCTGCAATGCCATAGTGAATGGCATTACCCTTTTCTTTAATTAAATTGGGTTGTCTGTCTTCTTTTTCCAATAAGAGAGAGTACTTCCCACAATAGTATTAGGCTCAGGCCCCCAAAAAGAGGTAGAGGAAAGTTAGGCGGGGCTCCATTTTAGGATGACCAATAGGTCAGCCTCATGCTACAGAAAGTCTATTGTTGTTTGGCATAGCCAATAGTCCAACTAGTCAAACTCTGACTTCACCATTAGGACATTATAAATTAAATAGGGGTTTATAATAATGAAAACGGCCATGTTACCAGTCTTTTAGTTCTTGGTGACCAAATTCAAATGAAAGATAAAAGCTGCTTGATGCAGAGGCACCGTAAGAATGTTGCCTCCCAGCCCCCCCCCCCCCATTTAACGTTGATCCTGTGGGTATGCAGCCTAATTGGGGTGAAATAAAGTTATTGAGTTTTCTTTGGGTGACGACAGCCACTAGGAACATACAGCTGTATTGTCCAGATGTGTGGCACTGACAGCCTGTTTTATGACTGTATTTTTTACAGCTTGTTTCCCCTAAATTTCACACAACCCTCTAACATCTGGGGCCTTTTCCTTGGAGCCCTATAATCACTTTATTTACTGCAAAATAATAATAATAATAAAATCACGTAAAATATACCATAAAAAGTTGCTACGTGTTTCTCTATATTCACATGGTCTCGCTAACAAAGTTCACCTACGCCGGAAGCACTGTCACGAAGGTAATTTAGTCCAAGTAGTTTTCGACTTTTGTTTTTAAGCAAGCATCAGATTTATTTATAACCTTGGGATGAATTAGGTGTTACTAAAATGTTCTGACATGTTGCTTTTCTTCCCCCTTGGAGCAATTACTCGCTGGGGCGCATATGGTGTCAATTTCAGGCCCTCGATCTCAGACAACGACCCCGCACATGGCATCTCACTGAGTGTCTTGTCTGAGGTTTATACCAGCTCTTGGTCAGGGCTTTCCTGACTGGTCCAGTTCCTTATGACCTTCCACTTTGCCGGGGGAAATAGCCCGAAGAAAAGGAGGTTGCTATTTTGCTTCTAACTGCAGAAGGCCCTGTGGATTCTCTTATGCCAAAATGTAACTGGAGCTCTTAGAGACCGCATTGGGGTTTCCTGCATTGCCTTGCAGAAGGGGAAAACCAGGGAGAGGACTCCTTTCAAGCTGCCTTTTCTAAAACCAAAGGAGCAGACCAAGCATCAGAAAGCTTTGCCTTGTATAAGCAAACACCCTCCACAAAACATAGCGCTTTGGTCTTTATTGCAATTCTGCTCCTGCAAACATGTTTTAGGGAAAGGGACATGATGGCTGTGATATCTGGGAGCAGAAACCCATAGCAGTATACCTGCAGAACTTTACCTTCTAATGACGGCCAGATTCAAGACTGAAGGGACTCCTGAGGGGACTACAGGTCATGCATTTACTGTAAAATGAAAGCTGTCTGATTGGGCTCAACCCCAAGGGTAGATTTCAGTATTTAGTTTGAAATGGCATTTTTCAATACCAGTTAAACAGTGTGCTGACAATCAGGCTGTTCTGTGACATCTGGCTCAAAATATTCAAATTTGGTTTTTTAAAGCTCACTGCAGCCTAGTATGGGGCGTTTCTTTGTAATCCAAATATAATGAAAGTGTTGAAGGGAAGTTAACACTGGAATAGATTACTGAAGGGTGGTTGTGGAGTTTCTTTTCCTGATGACCTGTGAAAACAGGATATTTACCTATGTCTGGGGTGGCTTGGGTGAAGCCTGTCTGGCGTCATAGTGATGGATGGGATGTCTCTGGAGTTGCTTTCCAGCCCCGCGTGTCTCTGTTAGTCTATGAATGTTACCTCACTGTGTTAAAATGTACTCGAAATACAGCAAAACATCTCAAGAAAGGTATTTTGCTGGCCATAAAAGTTATTTCTGGACCATCTGAAATTATCTGTGAAGTTCTGGGTTTCAAACAAAAATCTGGCACAGCACCAAAATAACAGTGATATCCTGCTCTGAGGTGGGTGCAGGGTGGGGCGATGGGGAGATGTGAGGAGCGTTGCTGGTATTGCCAGGCACCTGTGTTCTCATGATACATGGGCTCTGTGAGTTAGAGCAATGGCAGCATTGAGGATGATCTTGTGGTAGCTCCCTCAACCCTGTGCAGCCTCAGGACGGCTCAGGCAGAGGGGGCTCCACATCCATTGCTAGTGGAGAAAGACACAGCAGTGCAAGTGGACATACTTGTTCTCCCCTAGGGTGCTCTGAAGAGACTTGACTCCTATAGAAGCCACTTTCTTTCCTTCCCCAGAGGGAATGCTACTGTGAATCCTTGGGATAATGAATGAAGATGAAATTCTATGCTGAACTCAAAATCTGAGACTAATATGTGGGTCCTCCCCAGGAGAGGCAGAACAAGAACGATATTTACAAATTAATTTCCAGTGAAAATTCTTTCTTCTCACACTCCATAATTCAGAAGTCCACTCAATCAGTAGCCAGTGTGTATGTGTGGTAGTTGTGTTGGGGGGTGGGTTGCAGGAGAGAGGTATTAGGGGTGGGGAATGAATACCAAAATCAAACCAAACTTGTTGCCATTGAGTCAATTCCAACTCACAGCAACCCTATAGAACAGAGTAGAACTGCCCCATAGTTTCCAAGGAGTGGCTGGTGGATTTAAACTGCTGACCTTTTGCTTAGCAGCCAAGCTCCTAACCACTGTACCACCAGGGCTCCTGGGAGATGAATGGTGAGGAGAAAATGAGAACAGTGAACTGGCAGGGGTTGGGGAGTAAAATTAGACAAAAACCTAGGTTTCCAGAACTAGGCAAAAAAATAGTCCTAGGTGGGTTAAAACATGGGTACTCATCAAGCCAAAATACCAAGTAAATCAGCCTGGCATGAGTCAGAAACAAACAAAAAAAAAAAACCCAAGTCTTATGGATAAATGAGACTCATAAAAATCCTTTCAGTACTACATTTTTTCTCCTTAACTTTTTTTTTTTTTCCATGGCATGTGTTTTCAGTATTGGAAGGCATGCTTACTAATTGAGTGGGTTTAAATATTTGGTTTGTAACATGGCTTTTGATAATATAAGCCACCAATAAGGTGAGTGGCACTGTGGCACCACTGATCTGTGGCATGACAGTATGCCAGTAGAAATTAGATATATAATTTATTGTGGGTGCCTTCCACTAGGTTACATACGAAACCTCTGGTTTTCCAAATGTGACACAGAAAAACCAAAAGCAAACCCATCAGGGCTCCCTAACTATCACATAGGAAAGCCATAATTAGCTATCAAGCTTTATTTCACAGAAATAAAGGGGAAAAAAGCCAAAAGTTTACAAAACCAACATATCCAGGGAGCATCACCTAATATGCTCAACCTACCCAACAATGAAGCTCCAACTCCAGTCTGCTGAGCTTCATGCCTTTCAAAAGGGACGTTGACACTAAATGCATTACAACCAGAATAATGTACTACTTAAGAGGTCCAGAGGCATAAAAAGTGGCCGGTATACTGTTAATCCAATAGTAACTGAAGACTCAAAATGGAGAAGAACTGTTGCTGGGTGAGGTCTGTAAACATCTTCTTGACCCACTCAGGTCAGGTCCCCAGGCAGTGGGCCTGACAGACTGGGTGGAAGCGTTCCAGCTGAGCTACCGGAGGTGCTAGGTTCTGGGACAGAATGATACAGCAGGAAACTGAGCTTCAGAGTGCAGCTGAGGCAGGAGCATATGTTTATATTTTAGTGTGTGAAAATCTTTAGTTTGGGGATATGGATGCCCTTTCTGTTAGGAAGTTTGTGATTCTGAGCAAACTAGTAAATGAAAACAGTTCTCTCTTCATCACTGCCCTGGCTCAAAGTCTTATGTCATATTTAGCAGCTAAATGATCTGATCCAACAAAAATACACTAAATAGACCAATTTCTTCCTTGCCTGGGGATTAGGCCTAGCCACAAATATTAGTGCCCTCCCTCCCCGCTCTAACCATACCTCTTCTCTGTAGCTCCTCCCTACAATAGTAAGCACCAGCATCTTCCTGAGCAAGAACTTAGAACAGCTCCACAGATTCCCCTGTAAATCAAATCACGCATGCACATATGCATACACATACTTACATATATTTGATAGATAGGTAGGGAGGGAGGTCTGCTGTCTGATTTCCCTGGAGTGCTTATGAGGAAGTATGGGGAGCAGCTTTAATCATTGCTTAACTTGTTGCAAGTTTAATTCCAGGTGAGTTCTGAGAAGTGTGATGATTTTGGATCCCCGTTTCTCTTGCCTGGAACAGACCTTGGGGATGAGATGGTGGAGAAGAGGGCAAGGTGTGGCTGTATGAGGCAGAGAGCGGAAGACGACGGGAAAGGGATGGGCTGAGGAGACGTTTCCTTCAGAAGCTCCAAATAGCCACCAGTTCCCCTCAAAGAATTCTTTGGTTTCAGGGCCTTCCTTGGGGGTCCATGTGTTGTAGTAACAAATAATTCACGTGCTGTAACTTCATATTTGATACATTATTCTTGGGTTAATTACTTAGGGTTGGCTTGGATATATAAAGACCTCAGCGAACAGGAGCAGACTGCAAAATCTAGAGCTTCACTCAAGCTAGACTGGCACAGTGCTGGGCAAAGAGGACTTTGAAGCACATAAGACCCAACTCCTATTTTCTTTTCTTTCTGTCTTCCTTTTTTGTTTTCATACCACATTCTTTTGGGGTAGCTCATTTCCTTAATACATTAATATATTTCCTTAACATGTGAGTGATTAAAAAACTAGGTAGTAGTTCCTTATCATGGTGAAAAGTCCAAACAGTACGTAAGGGTGTACAATGAAAGAAAA